TGTGTTCCACCTACACCTTCAGACATGCAAAATAGTGTATTGCCTCAAGTGTCCGAGGATGCTCAAACTGCCTTGAGTGCTCAGCCTATCCCTGCAGTGTCTGCTAGTCCAAGTAGTAGTTTCTCCACAGGGGACGCCTTGTCGGAAAATAATTACTTGAAACTAGTAATGCCATCTCTTGTTGATGTCACATGCCGTCTGCAGAAAGGCATCTCTGTGGGGCTAGTGCTCTCACTAGTGTGTCTGTTGTTGTTCCTAGTGTTCCAGATGGTGATAACATCCTAGTTGACAGTGATTCCTGCAAGGTCAAGGGTTTATTTGTTGAACCTTCCTTACACATTGTAAGAGACAGTAAGATCCATTTATTCCTTGCTAACACTTCGGGGTCACAGTGTTCGTCTAAGAGCAAATACCAATCTCGTTGACCTGGTTCACTATCCTTACCCTGTTCAAGTACAGGATGATGTGCCACCTGACCAGTGGGTCAGTGCTATTTCAACAGGGGAGACCTCATCCACTGCACTGGATCAATCCATTCCACCAGTTGAGAAAGACTTAGCTCCCACTGACTTCCCAGATGAAGTCAAGAGTTTGTTGACTCTGTTGAACAAACGTCGTAAAGCCATTGCCTTACCAAGTGAGAAGATGGGTATAACGAACCTGGTACTAGACCTATCTATATACCTGCATACAGAATGCCTCATTCCAAACTTGCTGTCGCAGAAGAATTGATCAATCAAATGCTCGATGATAGAGTTATTGCACCTAGTAATTCACCCTGGAATGCACCCTTGATCCTAGTGCCTAAGAAAGATGGTACTTGGGGCCCGGTGATTGACTTTAGGAAGTTAAATGCGAAAACTATTCCTGATCGCTTCCCACTTCCTGTACTTGGTGATCTTTTATGTAACATTGGAGGTAACAGTCTTCTCGACCCTGGATTTGTTACAAGGGTTTTGGCAAGTCCCTCTTCACGAGGACAGCCAAGAGCTAACAGCATTCTCCACTCCCACAGGTCATTATCACTTCCTTTGAATGGCTTTTGGATTACGATCCTCTCCTATCACATTCTCTAGGCTCATGACCAATATCTTTAGAGGTCTTGTAGGTGAAGCACTTATGGTGTACTTAGATGACGTAATCGTCATGTCCGAAGATGCGGATACACATCTGAAAAGACTTGATATAGTACTTGGTAAGCTTGAAGAAGCCAATTTAAAGATCAAACTGTCTAAATGTCAATTTTTCAGATCAGAAATTAAGTTTCTTGGTCACGTAGTCACTCCTAGAGGGGTTACGACTTATCAAAGTAATGGCAGTATTAAATTTTCCATTCCCCAAAACTGATGATGCTGTAAGAGTCTTTGTGGGTCTAGCATGTTTCTATAGATCTTTCATTGCTAATTTTTCTTCAATAGCAGCTCGACTTGACTTAAGAAATCGTAATGACACGATTTGCAATCGTGTCATTACGATTTCTTAAGTCATGTTGACGGCAGTGAAGGGACTTGAGCTAGAGTTCGTCACGGCCACGCTAGCTGGAGATTCGTCTGTAAAAACTTGCATTTGTGGTCACAGAGGTGCCTGTGCTAACCTTCCTATGGTGTAGAAATATACCTAGTTGGATGAATCTTATTGTGGCTAGCTGGTCTAGTGGTTAGCGCGACGGGCTGGAGTTTTGAGACTATGACCGCGGGTTCAATCCCGGCCGGGGGTATGGTTTAATAGCAGCTCCTCTAACTGAATTGCTTAAGAAAGATGCTCCTTTCATTTGGACCTTCCATCAAAAAAGAGCATTCCAGACACTAAAAGAAAAGCTAAAGTCTACTCCCATTTTGAAATTCCCAGATTTTTCTAAGCCCTTCTATCTGACAACTGATACTAGTTCAATTGGCATAGGTGCCGTACTAGCTCAGAAGACTGATGGCAAGTACAACGCAGTTGCATTTGCTAGTAGAGACCTCACGAAGGCTGAACATAATTATACAGTAATGGAGCAAGAAGCTTTAGCAATAGTATTGTCTTTAAAGCACTTCCAAGACATTATTTACCAGTACCCTGGTCATGTCTTGATAGACCATGCACCACTGATACCTTTATTCCAGAATAAACAACCTACTGGAAGGTTAGCCAGATGGACCTTGACAATTCAAGAGTTCAATCCTACTTTTGAACATTTACCTGGCAAGTCAAATGTAGTCACAGATGCTTTATCGTGACACATTAGTATAGTAACCACAGACCCTCCATTTACTGCCGAGGATATAAAGAATGCCCAAAGAACAGATCCCATGTGGTCTGATGTGATTCAATTCCTGCTCCAGGAAGATCTTATTCTGACTGTGAAGCAACCAGCACCCATTAGTGACTTTGTAATGAGTCAAGAATTACAGTATCCAACTGCCGAGTTGGGTACTCCAAGCAGAAGAGTATACCAGTTAGTAATTCCACAGTCATTACTGAATGTAGCTCTACAGTTAGTTCATGATACACCAGGTGTTGCACACCCTGGTATGGATCGTTCTGTGAAACAAGCCAGAATGAAGTACTTTTGGCCACGTATGACGTCTGACATTTCAGAGTATGTTAAGAAATGTAGTGTTTGCATGCAGCATAAAGGAAATGTCAATGATCCTAATCCAATCCAGGTGTATCCAACTACTAGCGAACTGTGAGAAAGAGTTGCGCTAGATTTGTTATCCAATTTTAAATGTTCCCTCCAAGGCAACAAAATGTGTGTTATTGGAGACCATTTCACCGATATTGCGAGTTAGTTCCTATTGCAGATAAGACTGCCGAGACGTAGCTAAGCATTTTAAAGAACGCATTATCTGGCAGGCATACCACCCCTAAGTCATTAGTAACAGATTAATGGAGGTGAAATTTCTGTAGTGTGATTCTTGAGAATTGGTGTACCTTGTTACAAGATCTCTAAATCCATCATTGTTCATCATCATCCTGCCTAGCTCAATGGGTTAGCTGACGAACCAATAAAGTGCTTGATGTCTTGAGAGCCACTATCAAACCCCATAGTGAAACTTGGGATGAAGTTATTCCAGGTGTTCAATGTGCATAAGATTCTGCTTACAATGCTTCCATAGGGGACACTCCACATTATGCACTGTACGGTGTAGAGATGAGTTTACCCTATGAGTGTTATATTTCACTCCATAATCCAATTTCAACCCTGATGATTTCGTAGCAACTGCATAACCAGCAAAGATCAAAGTATTTTTAGAAGAATCCATGAAACATTTCATAAATCAACAGCAGAATCTTTACTAGAGTAACTATATAGCAATGCTATGCCGTCATAAGTTAAAGTAGGTTCGAGAGTTATGCTGACATTTCAACTAAACATCACACATGCATAAGCTCGATCAAAAGTTTGTTGTAATCTTTTCGAGTTGTTGAACATATCACGGGCAAATAAGTATAAGGTTAGAGATATTAGTACTGGTATGTTACATGAATTCACATTTAGATCATATGAATTATATGTGATGTGATATTGCTACCCAGGACTATGGGACAGAAACGACAATCTCTCGACTCTGCACCCTATACCTCAAATACTCAAGTCAGATAATCAACCCAACTGTCGTTATTCTTTGCGTACTCGACAAGTAATGAGAAACCCACAAGTATCTTTTGTAGATACTCGTTCAGATTGTCCTCAGTCAAAGCATGTCTTAACCATTGCAGAAGAATTTGATCCACCCAAAGATGATAACCATTCTGCATATGTAAGCCTTACCCTCGCAGAATTGGGTTTAAATGTACATAGTCTGTATAATTAGATGTCCAAGATGAATGAAGTTCTCAACTGTGTGTTTTGTTATCAGCTGATCAGTTTTCAAAATATTTTTTTTCCGTGTTCACCTTCCCTCCGAATTCGGAGAAATTAGCAGTAATGATCTGTGTGCACCAGATTTGCCGTTAATTTCACCTTGTATATATATTTATTCTTCCTCAATCCGTAGAGTGCATGAATACAAATCGATCGATCAATTCCATTCTTATTGTACAATGATTTGTTCTTATAAGTCATAATGCATTACGTTAAAACTCATTACGTTAACATCCATAATGATACCATCCATTAGTTCTAAGTTACATATGTCTTTGTTTTTGTATGAATCAGCCCAGAACCCCACCTGCCTGTTCAGGCCTATAGAAATGTAGTGTGTCGAGAACGACATAGTAACATGACGACTGTCAGCATAGTTGCTTATCCCCCTTACACGTGTTTGTATAGCACATAGCGAGTATCATGTACCTTCCATGTGTTTTTTATAGGACTTTCCCTACTAGCATAGTGATTGTATGAACGTCATAGGGAGCAGCTGAGTGAGGGGGTGCGCTACCTCGCTCTCAGTCCACGCTTAGACCTACCAGGCAGTTACAGGCGGTTGCCCACCGGCTCCCTTACCACAGTCTGACAATATATAGGAGTTACCATCCACAAGTGTGTTTATCTTCAACCTTCATATCTCCTTTCAAAACGCCCCACGACTCTGAGGATGTCAATGTATGATGTACATTTTTGTGTATTTATGTTGGTGTTGGTTGTGTTTTAATTTGTCTTAGTGCAATATTTGATTATAACAGTTCCAGTTGTGGTTTTTTGTCTAAAATGTACCCACTAAATTTCACATACGTATGCTTTGTAAATTGCAGTTTTAAATAACAAAAAAGTCGCGATTAAAATATTTTACGCAAGTTTGAATAACTTAAGTAAGAATGAATGTATTTTTTTGTTTAGGTTCCGAATGATTTTTATGAAATTATTGCACACACAAATTTCCGCTTGCCTTATTCAACAAGAAGTGTTGCTATTTAAGCCCAAATCACAAGTTTTACCTATTCAGCACTACATATATATGCAGGGTGTTTTAAAGTGATGGACCAACTAATGCTGCACTGTAATCTACATTTGTATACTTTAAAACATTAGTAATAAACATTTATATTCATTTGTGTAAGCAAGTTTTGCAAGCATTGTGTGCAGTTACTGTCTTGCATATGAAGAATGGATATAAATACATTACTCATTATATTGGTCTCACAGCCCACAAAATTTGTTGGGAAAAATATTACAAGAGAAAAACATTGAATAAAAGTATAAATAATAATACAGAGAGCAGCAGAAGTCGCCGATGTTGTCGCCATTCATTAACTTTGGACAACTTCATGTCTATGTCGGTAAGTACTGATCCCAACAAAATTGTTTTATAACACTCACAGTAGCAGTTGGACTAGTGGTCGTGACAGTACTAGTGGGAGCACTAGTGGTAGTGGCAGTGCTAGTTGTAGTATCAGTACTAGTGATAGTGGCAGCACCTTTGTCATAACTAGGACCACACCTCAGGGAAGAACCAGCAAACCATCATTACTGCTCAACGACGCACCACTGGACACACACAAGTCTGCCAACAATGAACCTCGTTAATGCAACTATCCACACATATGGAGGTTTCAATAACCACTAAGATCGATTAACATCAGTGACTTAAGTGACACTGATGTTAAAGAAATTACTTGCATTGCGTATTTCTATACGCAGACATTTTTGTACACTTAACATACCTGATAAAATAGCAATTAAATGTATAATTTAACGAATGTTCCCCTATTAATTCTAAAGTCTGTTACATACAATGCTTATTGTATCTCAAAAGAAAAAAAACAAGTCACACCACAAGGATGTGCATCTGTACTATTGGCTCTTGCTCTTGGTCCCTGCCTTGTAACCAACAGTCCATCCACACCATCACGGACACTAATTTAGAGAGAAGAGCTGCAGCAGCTTAATTAGTGGTATTCTTGTATCCCATAGAGATACCTTTCAAAACCTATACAGTAGTGCCCTGTTATCCCAGGGACGCACCATGGATAATAGAAACCTTGGATAGTAACAAACACTATATTTAAGTGGTTTTGGTTTACCTCCATTATCCCTCCCTGACCCCCCCTGGACACCTCTCTGACCACCTACACTCCCTTTGACCTTCCATGGCCACCACCACTGCCCCCCGGGGCCCCTCCCTGGCCACCTCCACTGCCCCCGGGCCCCTCCCTGGCCACCTCCACTGCCCCCGGGGCCCTCCCTGCCACCTCCCGCCCGGGGCCCCCCCTGGCCACCTCCACTGCCCCCGGGGCCCCACCCTGGCCACCTCCACTGCCCCCGGGGCCCCTCCCTGGCCACCTCCACTGCCCCCGGGGCCCCTCCCTGGCCACCTCCACTGCCCCCGGGGCCCCTCCCTGGCCACCTCCACTGCCCCCGGGGCCCCTCCCTGGCCACCTCCACTGCCCCCGGGGGGGCCCCTCCCTGGCCACCTCCACTGCCCCCGGGGCCCCTCCCTGGCCACCTCCACTGCCCCCGGGGCCCCTCCCTGGCCACCTCCACTGCCCCCGGGCCCCTCCCTGGCCACCTCCACTGCCCCCGGGGCCCCTCCCTGGCCACCTCCACTGCCCCCGGGGCCCCTCCCTGGCCACCTCCACTGCCCCCCCCGGGGCCCCCTCCCTGGCCACCTCCACTGCCCCCGGGGCCCCTCCCTGGCCACCTCCACTGCCCCCGGGGCCCCCTCCCTGCCACCTCCACTAGCCCCCGGGGCCCCTCCCTGGCCACCTCCACTGCCCCCGGGCCCCTCCCTGGCCCACCTCCACTGCCCCCGAGGCCCCTCCCTGGCCACCTCCACTGCCCCCGGGGCCCCTTCCTGGCCACCTCCACTGCCCCCGGGGCCCCTCCCTGGCCACCTCCACTGCCCCCGGGGCCCCTCCCTGGCCACCTCCACTGCCCCCGGGGCCCCTCCCTGGCCACCTCCACTGCCCCCGGGGCCCCTCCCTGGCCACCTCCACTGCCCCCGGGGCCCCTCCCTGGCCACCTCCACTGCCCCCGGGGCCCCTCCCTGACCACGTACACACCCCCGTGGACCCTTCCCTGACCCCTGGACCCAACAGTAGGCTTCACCTGGAGAGTCAACAACAGCAGCATGTGATGGTCGTAGCAGCACCAACAGTTCACCGCTGCTCTAAGGTTGGTCGTCCGTCTCCACTGCGGTGGACGTTCTTCCTAAGACGCATCGCCGCCTCCAGCACTCCGTCCATCACTCAACCCTGCAACACATTTTTTCAAAACAGTTTGCCACCAATATATTGCAACCAAAATAAAAGATATACTTCCACCATCACTCGAACCCTGAAGAACAAACGGCTTATATACAGTGAACAGAAAAAATAGAAGAAACCCTTCTGCCATCACTCACGCAACTCCAGAATATATACCGTTATGCCACCCACAAAACAAAAGAAGAAATACTTCAGCCATCTCTCAAATTATTATACCCAAATTACTCCAGAATTATACAATGTTATGATCAACTGCCATTTACTTTAATAAAGACTTTAGTGACTAATTTATTACAAATAATATAGATCATTTAGTGGCTATCCATTTCAAATAAAATATTAAATGAGCAACTGGGCCATTTTTCCCCTTGTATAAAAACATTTTTTGGCCTCTTGTTACGACCTACTAGACCATACATTCACTGCCTGACCACGGTGGAGTGCGGTTGTGCCCTGCACCCCTCTGCTGTTTTCAGGCGAGCTGCCTCGTTTCGTCACTCAACCTTTGAGTAGTGAGGACGTGCGCTGCTGCTGCCCCTGGCGTTGATTAGTGGCAGTTATATTTTCACAGCATGGCGCAGGCAAGCCGGAGACGCATAAACACAGTCTGTGTTGAGCTTATCCGTGGGGCTGTGACAGGAACTTCTATGGACCTGATACTACCTGCAATCATACGAGATACATATGGTATTGCTGTCGAGGAGATATATGGAGTAGCGCTGAATGGCACGATGAGGATCTTTGTCAAGTTTAATTTGGCAAGTGTGTATGAGGCGGTGGTAGACAAGTACCAGGAGGTTACTTTGACAGTTAACTCCGCTGTGACCGTGCGACTTCACGACGTTTCTCGCCATTATACATGGGTTAAGATTAGAAATGTGCCATTCGAGGCGGACGATTCTGACATCCATCTTGAGATGGGCAAATATGGTACAGTACATATGGCCACTGTTGGGAAGTGGGCCACTGGGCCATACGCAGGGAAACTCTAAGGAATGTATTCTGTGAAGATGACGTTACGTTACCCTATTCCGTCGTACGTAGTGCTGCCAGAATTTCGTACCCAGGTGTTTGTGACATACGCTGGGCAACGCCGGACCTGTCGGTTATGTGGGTCATATGATCACCTAGCGGCTGTGTGTGGAAGGAGGCGTGGCAACATGGAACAAAGGCAACGACATACAGCAATCGAGAAGAGTGAGGATTTGCCTTATGTGACTGCCTACACAAGGTGGGTCCTGGAGTGAGGAGGTCGAGAGAGCGGAGGAGATGGAGTCAGCAGGTGTGACGAGGGGGGACACCCCTTCATTGAACGCAGCTCAGGTGTTGGAAGAGGACACCCCGACTGCGAGTGCTAGCGATGTGGAAGACTCATTAGCCATGGCTTTAAATGTGTTATTGGCTGACAAGAGTATTGGGAAGGTTGGGAGTCCAGATCTAGTTCTTGGGTCTGTTGTGGATCAGGGCGTGGAACAGGATCTGAGGTCTGCGCAGTGTGATAAGAATATTTTGATGCAAGCTGTGGAGGTGGAGGTCCACCAGGACAATGTATCAGACGACATGATGCAAGCAGAGGGAGCATCACGGAAGCGCGCTGCTGCGCTATCTGACTCCGAGGACGTAATCACGCCTGCTCAGTGCACTGGCAAAAAGTCCTGGGCGGAAGTTACACAGAGAGGACACAGCGGCCCTAAGGGGCAGGAGTTGGTTAAGAGCGTTTCTAAAGGGGGGGAGAGGGACCGAGGTGTCACGAAACGATCTGGTGGCAAGACAGTACCAGGGTCAAGAAGGAAAACCACTCTGTAAGCTTCAAGTGCATGACATTGAACATTAATGGATTGAGATCAGAGAGAGTGTGTATGGTTTAGTGAATATTTGGTGCGTAATTGTGTTGACGTGGTGTTCGTGCAGGAACACAACTACAGACCAGGTTATGAGTTGAAGGTAAATGGGTATAATGTGTATGTGGAGCATGCGATAAGGTTGAAAGGAGGAGTTGCCATCCTGGTAAGGGAAACTAGCCCGTTCGTAGTGAGGCATTGTGAGGGTGGGGAGGGGAGGGTGATTCGTGTAGATGGGTGGTGGGGTAGGGTACAGATGAGTTTGGTGTGTGTATGGTCCAGCAGAGGGAGATGTGCGTATTAAGAATAAATTTGTGAAGGATGTCTTAGTATATTATTTGCGTGCTTTGCCGGGTGTAGCTGTAATTGGTGGTGATTGGAATTGTGTGATAAGGCATAAGGATGTGGAACCTAGAGGGGCAGGGTATTGTTTGGGGATTTTGGGGGAATTATTAAATGGAGTGGGGTTAATGGACGTTGGAAGGGGTGGGGTTGTAGAACATACTTTTGTTAGACGTGGATATGCGGCAAGACTGGATCGATTGTATGTGCCCTGAACAGTAATAGTGAGCAGAGTGCGTGTGGTGGACGCGGTTTTCTCGGATCACAGAGGAGTAATGGTGGACCTAGAATGGGAGGGATTGCCTAGAAGGGGTCAAGGTTATTGGAAGTTAAATGTGAAGCTTTTGCAGGGTGAGGAATGTCGTCAGTCTTTTGCGCAATTGTGGGAACGGTTGGTGGATGAGGCGCCGGGGGATGATGAACTGGTAAATTGGTGGGATTCGGTGGCTAAAAATCGTATCAGAGAATATTATATTTGTCGTGGGAGGGAAGATAATCGGTTAAAGTATGGGTTTCAAAGATATCTTGAAGGGCAGCTGCGTGACTGTTACGCAAGAGGAGGAGCAAGCTATCCAGTGCAGGACATTGAGGGTTTAAAGGAGAGTATTAGGGTATTGCAAAACGAGCGTTTTGATGGTGTGCGAATTATGGGAGGATTGGAAGAAGTGCTATGGGGTAACCGGCCGTCGGCTTGCGTGTTAAGAGGCCAGAGAAAGAGGAGAATGACGATGGAGATGATGGGGTTAAACGTACAGGTAGGGATGGAAGGGTATAGAGCGGGTCAAGCATTGGTAACGACAGAGGGTATGAGTGGATATGTAGACGCTTGGTTTAAGTCATATACGCAAAGCATGGGCTTCTGCGAGGTGGCATCGAGGGACATGGGAGAGTATGTGCAGTGTGAGCTAGATGGTCAAGATCGGGTGACATTAGGTGGACCGATTACGGAGTGTGAGATTTGGCAGGCGTTGTCAGGAGTGAGCTTGGGAAAAGCGCCGGGTATAGACGGACTGCCAAATGATTTCTACGTGAAGAATTGGGGGGTTCTGAGGTTTTTTTAGTAAGGCTGTTTAACATACTTAAGGCGGCTGAGGTAATGGGAGAGCAGCAACGGACGGCCGTTGTGGTGTTGGTACCGAAAGGGGAGCAGTCAACGGTAATGGATTATCGGGCACTTTCGCTTATGTGTGGAGATTATAAGTTGTTTGCGAGAATATTAGGGAACAGAATCAAGAGGGTAATAGGCAAGGTAATTGATAGGGGGCAATTGGGGTGCCAGAAGGTCGATGTATGAGGGCATGGCTGATTCGATAATTTATAGAGAAACAGGGGGAGTTGGGTGGATGGAGGTGTATTGGCGTTAGATTGGAAGGCTGCTTATGATAGTGTAGAAAGGGAAGGGTTATGGAGGTTTATGCGTTGGCAAGGTTTTGGGGAAGAAATAATATCTTGGGCAAAATTATTGTATCAGGGGGCCTCGATGAGGGTGCAGGTTAACGGGAGGCTAGGAGTTAAAATACAGATGCGACGGGGATTGCGCCAAGGCTGCCCACTATCACAAATATTGTTTGCATGTATACCGGATCCATTTTATAGGGCCATTCGGAGGTGTGTTGCGGGAGGTGGGGAGGGTACTGACCGGGGGAAGGGGGGGCTGGTATCGTAGGTTATGTGGATGACACGACTGTTTTGGTGCGAGGTAATGGGGATTTGCTTAGGGTGGGTAAGGTGGTGGATGTGTTTGGGAAGGCTTCAGGTATGAAAATTAATGTTGAGAAGACTAAGTTTCTAGACTTAAGGGATAGTACAAATGGGGATGAGGTGGTAGGGGGTGGGTGGAAGGTGGTGGATCAACTAATGATATGTGGGATAATTTATGTGAGAAATACACGGGTGGCTCAAGAGGTGAATTCGGTGAGAATAGTGGATGGCGTATTGAAAAGACTTGGTGGTTTGAGGGCGGCGCAACTAACGCTGCATCAAAGAGTAATAGTGACGAACGTGCTATTGTACAGCAAGATATGGCATGTCGTTGTCATGTACCCGCTGATGAGACGTGAGGTGAAATGTTTACAACATGGGGTTTTTAGGTTTATATGGGGATCGGGCTGCGAATGGTTAAGTAGAGCGGTGTTAACACTTCCGGTCAGTCGAGGAGGGCTGGGACTTTTACCTCTGGAAAAAAGGATGATGAGCTAGTACCTAAAACGAAGTTATATAAGGGAGGGGAGCGGGAGGGGAGGTGGACTTGTGGGAGTATGTAAGGACATGCAACGGTGGGGGGGGGTAGGGATTTAATAGTTGGTGAGGCCATGTTGAGGTTATTAATGACAGTGAGGGATCCGTCGTGTGTTAAATTGCGGGTCCTCGAAGGAGTGGAAGGTAGGTCAGTGGTGGCTGCTGTTGAAGGGGCATACCCTATGTATGCGTGGAACGAAATATGGACGCGTCTAAAACAATTACGTGTAAAACCGGGTGTCCGGGAGGTAATGTTTAGATTTTTACTTGGGATTTTGCCGTCTGGGGGTTGTCCTATTCAATAGGAGGATAAGGGAGGGAGGGGAATGTAGAGCGTGTGGAAGCATGGAGACAATTTTGCATGCGGTATATTTTTGTGACTGTATAGAAGTGGTGCGGGTCTGGTTAGGAAAGGTGTTCAGGTTAGTGGGTGGGGGAGGATTGCAGGTGTTGCGGGCTTTAAGTTTGGATATAGGTGGGGTGAGTAAGATGGTGGAGAATGCAGTGGCGTATTTGGTCACGGATTTTATATATACGTCATGGGCCATGAGGGAGGTGGGCGTGGATGAGAGGATAAAGGTGTTAGCTGCGACATTTTACAGAACTAAGTGTCGTAATAGGGAAATTTATGAAGGGAGTTGGGAGACTGCTTTTACTGAGGGCTATCCGAGTTTTCGGTTGAGGGATTTATGGGATTTACGTGCAATGTAAGGGGTCGCGGCGGGCTGGCTTCCCGATAAAGACAGTGTGAAAGGGTTTAGTGTGGAAGAGAATGAATATAGTACTGAGACATAAGTGCCTTTGTGTGATGAGCGGGTTGTGTGTTGTGAACGATACAAGTTCTTCAATTTAATTATTAATTATGCAATTGACAAAGGACGACAGACGTCGTAATGTGATGGAATATTATATATCTGCAACGAAATTATTAGTATGTGTGTAATGAAATGACAATGTGGGTGCACTGTGTGAATGCGAAATATATATATACACATGAAGTATTGCGTGTGGTAGGAAGGCTTCAGTATTTATCGACGTGTGAAGGTCATGCACTGTTATGTTTTGTGCTAACAGACTTACATCTTAGTAGTGGTTTTAATGATATGGGCGAAATATTTTTAGAAAGCTGACTTATCCTTGTTCTTATTACATATTGTTTTTTCATGGGAGCTCTATAGAGCCCGTAGGTTTAGGTTACCATTGAATTGATATATATTATAGGGTAATTGATGGATGACATAGGATTAGGTATTTGTAGTTTCACTGGTTGTGTTGTAAAGTGTATGTAACATATGTATATATTTATACCTTCCTGGAGAAGGTGATATGTTTGGGTGTTTAGTAGATATACGTTGTACATGAATCATGTAGAATTGATTTTATATTATCTCAATACATTGAGTGATACTGAACGTATCATGTTGTTCAATATGGAATAATGAAAGTATTTCATACAATATACAGTTACATATAAAGATTGTTACGTGTCAGGTGGATTGACATGCAAGAAGGGGGGGGGGGTAGTGCTTTCAGAATGTAAGGTGTACATTCCGTGCAGGATGTAAATGTAAGGTGTACATTCCGTGGCAGGATGTACAATGTAAGGTGTACATTCCGTGGCAGGATGTACAATGTAAGGTGTAACATGTCCGTTGGCAGGATGTACAATGTAAGGTGTACATTCCGTGGCAGGATGTACAATGTAAGGTGTACATTCCGTGGCAGGATGTACAATGTAAGGTGTACATTCCGTGGCAGGATGTACAATCAGGAATGAGATGTACTTGCCAAGGAGTCTTTAGGTTAGATTTAGTGTTCCAGACATAATGTCATTACTTCAAGGATTGGAGTGGTCATTGTTTACTGTACAGATTTGTCTTTCAGATGTAATATGTTAATTGGAAAGTACATGTACTATGCAGAATTTTTCATCACTGTTTTCACTATGTAATTTGTCGTTTATTTTTATGTACTATGTATGTCTTTTAAATAAAATATAAAAAAAAAAATTTACAATTATAGGTTATCAGTTATATCAAAGAATAATTCAACAATAATTTAAACTATAATTTACCTCATCTAGGTCATTATTTAGACTGATAATTCGTCTTTTTTTCCTTAATCGAAAATGAGTCAATTTTATTCCCCTAGAGGAAGGCGATCACCCTCCTCCATTATTTATCTTATTTCTCCCTTAGAACACAATTACAAGTGATATAAATTATCTACAATTGTACTATGGTAATTCAGGTATAACCAACGCTATAATTTACCTCATGTGGTCCATTATTTCGTTGTAAATATCGTCTTTAAACTTGGTGCTGTAGTCTTGATCTTCCTTCTTGATGGTCGTTTTATTTACCTTCTGACAGCTGGCTTTGAACTGACCAATCAACGTCCACTTCACCCGGCAGCCTCGGCCAATCAGCATACGGGAAGGCCAGCCTCTCCACCAATCACCGTCCACCACTGAGAATCTTACGCATTTCTCACATATTATTTTTTTCATACTTTATTTAAAACGTTTAACAATACAAGTAGCTATAAAGTATAATAAACTGGCCACTAAATGGCTATAGGCAAAACTCCCAAATTAGAATCCCTCCTCCGAAAATAAATACACCAATTCTTAAACAATATCACCCAACACACCTCACAATATTTCGCTTAGACTCACAATGTACAGTAATATGAATCCAGTGTGCAACACAGTTGACGCTTCACTCCTCCCCTTGCACTCTCACACACACACTTCACTCCCCCTTCTTGCACTCTCACACACACACTTCACTCCCCCCTTCTTGCACTCTCACACACACACTTCACTCCCCCTTCTTGCACTCTCCACACACACTTCACTCTTCCCCTTCTTGCACTCTCACACACACACTTCACTCCCCCTTCTTGCACTCTCACACACACACTTCACTCTCCCCCTTCTTGCACTCTCACACACACACTTCACTCTTCCCCTTCTTGCACTCTCACACACACACTTCACTCCCCCCTTCATGCACTCTCTCACACACACTTCACTCTTCCCCTTCTTGCACTCACACACACTTCACTCCCCCCTTCTTGCACTCACACACACTTCACTTCCCCCCTTCTTGCACTCTCTCACACACACTTCACTCCCCCTTCTTGCACTCTCACACACACACTTCACTCTTCCCCTTCTTGCACTCTCACACACACACTTCACTCCCCCCTTCTTGCACTCTCACACACACACTTCACTCCCCCCTTCTTGCACTCTCTCACACACACTTCACTCTTCCCCTTCTTGCACTCTCACACACACACTTCCACTCCCCCCTTCTTGCACTCTCACATACACGCTTCACTCCCCCCTTCTTGCACTCTCACACACACACTTCACTCCCCCCATCTTGCACTCTCTCACACACACTTCACTCTTCCCCTTCTTGCACTCTCACATACACACACTTCACTCTTCCCCTTCTTGCACTCTCACATACACGCTTCACTCCCCACTTCTTGCACTCACACACACTTCACTCTTCCCATTCTTGCACTCTCACACACACACTTCACTCCCCCCTTCTTGCACTCTCACACACTTCACTCTTCCCCTTCTTGCACTCTCACACACACACTTCACTCCCCCCTTCTTGCACTCTCACACACACACACACTTCACTCTTCCCCTTCTTGCACTCTCACACACACACACTTCACTCCCCCCTTCTTGCACTCTCACACACACACACTTCACTCCCCCCTTCTTGCACTCTCACACACACACACTTCACTCTTCCCCTTCTTGCACTCTCACACACACATGAAACCTAGAACCACGTTCACTAATCTGTAAATCAGAACATTAAGTACCTGGAGTTTACCTGGAGAGAGTTCCGGGGGTCAACGCCCCCGTGGCCCGGTCTGTGACCAGGCCTCCTGGTGGATCAGAGCCTGATCAACCAGGCTGTTGCTGCTAGCTGCACGCAAACCAACGTACGAGCCACAGCCCGGCTGGTCAGGAACCGACTTTAGGTGCTTGTCCAGTGCCAGCTTGAAGACTGCCAGGGGTCTGTTGGTAATCCCCCTTATGTATGCTGGGAGGCAGTTGAACAGTCTCGGGCCCCTGACACTTATTGTATGGTCTCTTAACGTGCTAGTGACACCCCTGCTTTTCATTGGGGGGATGTTGCATCGTCTGCCAAGTCTTTTGCTTTCGTAGTGAGTGATTTTCGTGTGCAACTTCGGTACTAGTCCCTCTAGGATTTTCCAGGAGTATATAATCATGTATCTCTCCCGCCTGTGTTCCAGGGAATACAGGTTCAGGAACCTCAAGCGCTCCCAGTAATTGAGGTGTTTTATCTCTGTTATGCACGCCGTGAAGGTTCTCTGTACATTTTCTAGGTCAGCAATTTCACCTGCCTTGAAAGGTGCTGTTAGTGTGCAGCAATATTCCAGCCTAGATAGAACAAGTGACCTGAAGAGTGTCATCATTGGCTTGGCCTCCCTAGTTTTGAAGGTTCTCATTATCCATCCTGTCATTTTTCTAGCAGATGCGATTGATACAATGTTATGGTCCTTGAAGGTGAGATCCTCCGACATGATCACTCCCAGGTCTTTGACGTTGGTGTTTCGCTCTATTTTGTGGCCAGAATTTGTTTTGTACTCTGATGAAGATTTAATTTCCTCGTGTTTACCATATCTGAGTAATTGAAATTTCTCATCGTTGAACTTCATATTGTTTTCTGCAGCCCACTGAAAGATTCGGTTGATGTCCGCCTGGAGCCTTGCAGTGTTTGCAATGGAAGACACTGTCATGCAGATTCGGGTGTTATCTGTCATGCAGATTCGGGTGTCATCAGCAAAGGAAGACACGGTGCTGTGGCTGACATCCTTGTCTATGTCGGATATGAGGATGAGGAACAAGATGGGAGCGAGTACTGTGCCTTGTGGAACAGAGCTTTTCACCGTAGCTGCCTCGGACTTTACTCTGTTGACGACTACTCTCTGTGTTCTGTTAGTGAGGAAATTATAGATCCATCGACCGACTTTTCCTGTTATTCCTTTAGCACGCATTTTGTGCGCAATTACGCCATGGTCACACTTGTCGAAGGCTTTTGCAAAGTCTGTATATATTACATCTGCATTCTAGTAACCTCAATTTAGAACATCCTGACTCATCTTGTCATTAGTTGAAAAAGTGTTTACAATCATTGATGTTGCAGGAAAACCAAAATCATAATACCTTAAAAGACTAGAACACAATGAGAGAGAGAGAGAGAGAGGAGAGAGAGAGAGAGAGAGAGAGAGAGAGAGAGAGAGAGGACATGTCACAGTGTGCTCCACAAATTTTCTTAATATTACTTAACTACAAGGGTTGTTCAGGAAAAAAAATGTTCAGTGGCCTAGTTCTACCTACAAAACATTAGTACAAGTAAGCCAACTCTTCCATAGCAGTGAATATAAGGAAATAGTGAGAGTTAAGAGTGCTTTGGTGTACAATGTGGTGAGAGTGACGTCACTATTGCCTTCACAGTGAGCATCTAATATTTTGTCTCTATGTAATAACAGCTGCATGCTTTATAACAACGTGGCTTAAGAACATAACAAAGAAGAAACACTACAACAGGCCTACTGACCCAAACAATTAGGTTCATGTCCCCCAGGATTAGACCAATGACCCCCTCCCCCCGGATTAGCCCAATGACCCACCCAGTCTGGTCACCCCCACTCAAGGATGGAGCACTGCACCAGACCCAGCAGCACAAGCTACTCAGGTCCAACTCACACCCACCCACACCCAATCATGTATTTATCTAACCTGAGCAAACACTATAACATATTTATTAGAAAACGTTTCGGTCCTGGGACCTTGATCACTTGATCGCTTCTGGGCACTATCAGTCAAGCCCACCTCAAACACTCAGGTGACCTTCTCTCCCGAATTTCCAACCTGAATGTCAAAAACAAAAGCATGGCTTCCTTCGATGTCACAGCCCTCTTTACCAACGTTCCTACTGACGCTGCAATCAACATTCTGAGACAGAGGCTCACTGAAAACCACGACCTCCCTTTACCTCTTCTAGATTTCATCAATCTAGTGGAACTGTGTGTTAATTTCAACTTCTTCAAGTATCAGGACAACTGTTACAAACAATGCTTTGGGATGGCAATGGGCAGCCCGCTCAGTGCTGTGCTTGCCAACCTCTTCATGGAAAACTTGGAGACAGAAATTCAGCACCCTCATTCCCAACACCGTTACCTGGCTAAGATACGTTGATGATATATTGGTTTTCTATCCGAGACGTCTCAATATCCAGGCCCTTCTCAACAAGATCAATGGATATGCAACACATGGGAATCTTTATTGAAGAAACGTTTCGCCACACAGTGGCTTCATCAGTCCAATACAAAGTAGAAGTGGGTAAGGAGAGTAGAAGTTTGAGGTAATCAGTCCCTCAACCTGGATTCGATGTGTTCAGTCCATCACTCTTGTAGGAAGTGCAGGATAGGGCCAGAGAGGTGGCTTATATACTGCGGTGAGATGAGTTGCAGTCAGACACTGCAACATCATGGGATCTTGGTACAAAGACTTCAACGCTTGCCCAACCTTTGGACGACGACCTACTTACACTAGTGGCAGGTCCCACTGTGATCCCACCTCCTCCTGCTTCAACTCATCTCACCGCAGTATATAAGCCACCTCTCTGGCCCTATGCTGCACTTCCTACAAGAGTGATGGACTGAACACATCGAATCCAGGACCGAAACGTTTTCTAATAAATATGTTATAGTGTTTGCTTACGTGTCTTTCTAAACCAACTTGTCGGTATTTATTACCAAGGTTTATACCACTAATGATGTATAAAACTGCAGTATGACCTCTGGACTTCTGTTGGTTACACTTCTTGATATAAATCCCAGTAATCTATTTGCCTTATTACGTACTCTTAGGCACTGCTGTCTTGGTTTAAGGTTGCTGCTTACCATAACCCCCAAGTCCTTTTCGCAATCTGTATGGCTAAGTTCTACATTATTTAAATAATAAGTGCTAGGGTTATGGACACTCCCGAGCTTCAGAACCTTGCATTTATCTACATTGAACTGCATCTGCCACTTTTCTGACCAAGAATAAAGTTTGTTTAAATCTTCCTGAAGTTCCCTAACTTCTACTTTTGAATCAATTATCCTACCTATCTTCGTGTCATCGGCGAATTTGCTCATATCACTAGTAATTCCTTCATCAAGATCATTGATATATATTATAAACAACAATGGGCCCAAGACTGATCCCTGTGGAATGCCACTTGTTACTGATCCCCACTCGGATTTAACCCCATTTATGGACACTCTCTGCTTCCTGTCTGTGAGCCATGATTCGATCCACGAGAGCACCCTTTCCCCAATGCCATGAGCTGCCACTTTCTTTAACAGTCTTTTGTGTGGAAC